CCTTAACGGCTCCATCCTTCTCCAGCTGCTTCAGCAAAGGCATTGCCACATGCCCTAAGCGCCGGTGTGCCGTTGCCCAATCTGTCTCCCCAGATCTGGCCGACACTTTCACACCAACCCCTCCAACGGCATTGCACTCCCCCTGGGATGCAGACCCCTCTCCAGCCTGCCCCCCACCATGCCACGCCAGGGCCGGCAGCTGCCACATAGATCTGTACACGTCCTTGCTCTCGTGCAGATCCCAAAGCACCCGATTGCCCAGCTTCCCCTTATAAGTGCGTGCCCCATCCGTGTTGGTGTTCACCCCAGCCTTGCCAAGCTTACGGAGGGAGATAAGGTTGGCCTTCAGGTCGGGGACGAAGAGAACGTCGTGCAGCACCACCGGCTTGCCATCCGCTCCCTTAAACGCAGCTCGTCCCGCACCAGCCACCTTCAACATGTGTCCAGAGGCGGAGCACACTTCATTGATCGGTGCAGCTCGTACTTCGTCCAGCAGGTCCTTGCGCGGCGTCATCGTCCAAGCAGCGCCTGTGTCCAACACCCAATAGTCTAGGGGGTGCAGCTCTGCTCCAACTTTGGCAGAGGCGTCTCCTTGCTCCCCCTTGTCTCCCACATGGAAGAATTGGCCCGCGGTGTGCTCCTTCTTCTTCTCCGCACCGCCGTTGCCCTTCGGGTTGTTGTCGGACGAATCAGCGACCATGTTGGCGCCGTTTTTCTGGTTCCTCCGCGCGCCGCCATCCTGGTGACGATTCTGGGGGGTCCATCCATCGGGTTTCTTATAGCACAAAAACCAGGGGTGCCCTTCCTTCTCACAATACCAGCAACTCCCTTTCATTTTGCCACCAGCACCCGACTTGCCCCCACGTCCAGATTTCGCACCGCGACCCCAACCGGTACCTCCTTGTTGATCGTTGGAGTCGTCGTCTTTCTTTGCACCGCGTCCAGCACCACCGAAGCCACGTCCTCTGCCACGTCGGCTCCCTTGCATCCCGTAGCCGCTGCTGCCGTCGTCTCCACCCCTCAGTTGGCGGCGACGGAAGTCCTCCTCCAGAATCTTCGTCCGCACCCACTCGAGCGTCCACAAGCTCTGGTTCTGCGGCAGGCTCAATCCGCTCGTAAATTGAAGCCACGATTCTGGCAGCAGCGAGAGCATCTTCAAGCACTTGGTCTGCTCCGGGTAGGTGATTCCCGCGGTCGCCAACTTCGCGTAGAGGTCGCGCATCTTGTCCAGGACTGGTTGCACCGGCTCGCTCAGGCGCAACGCGGACAGCTCCCTCTCCAGCATCAACGTTGCGACAACGGAGGTCGGGGCGTGCAGCTCCTTCAACACGGTCCACGCCTTCGGACCGCATTCAACCTCCGGCAGCAGGTGCATGACGTGGTGACGCTGGTTCAGCTCCAAACTCTGCGACATCAAATAGTAGCCAGCCGAGGAGCGCTCGTCCCAATCTTCCTGCAGCGTGGGGTCACTCGGTCTAGGCTCCTCCCCAATCATTAGTTTCAGCAAACCGATCTGACGGAAATATAATTGCATTTTCCAGGCCCAATCATCATAGCCCTCACCATTGAACTTCTCGACGGTGAAATTCTTCAGCACCTCCTTGACAAGCGAGCCCTGGTTTGTTCGCGCTCCCCTTGGCGCTGAAAGACCAGAATCTTGGCTGCCGCTACGATCTTGGGCTGAAGATTCATCAGCTCCCGCCGAGGTGTTGCCCGCCATAGCTACCTATAACGAGGATCACTATAACGCAGCTCTGATACCAGCTTGTTGGTGTAAGGGCCTAATAAACTCAAGCTATTAGGACTTAATCAAACTTAAAACCTCTCCTCGGGGTCACCTCCAAGGGTCCCTGGGTGCCTGGTACAAGACCAGCCCCTATCCTCGGGTCCGAGTTTGTAGAGAGAGGGATCAAGAAGGACTTAGTCAAAACAGCAAGAGTACCTTGAACGTCGCGCAGCATGCCGTGCAGACCGTCGGTCGGATTAAGCTGAGAATTCGCTATATCGAAGCTCGCTCCAAGAGCTATAAAATGAGCCAAGTTGCCTCGCGAAAAGTTCTGCCATTACTAAGTTCTGGCTCGGACAGCGTTTGCCTAGCGTTGGAGTGCTAGCATACTAGCGTTGACTCGGGTAGCATTCCGCCGTCGAATAGCGCAGAAACGAAATTCCAGCGAGGAAGGAATTCGCTTGAATCAATTTTACTATATTCAGGTACAAACAGAGAAGGATTAAATAGTTCTAGCTAGCAAGGACCTTGGGAATCAACCTGGGAACAACCAGGGATGATCCCAAATAATTCCAAGCAACAGAACCAACCTGGCTGGACAAAATAGCAGGTGGTAGGTTGGTAAACAACCTCTGGTTCTGTTTTTCCAACCTGGGAAAAACAACAACCAGGTTCAGGTTCTAAAAACAGAACCTGTTTTGTCTTTGCCCAACCAGCCAAATGCTGGTTCCGCTGGTTTCCCCTGGCCTTGTAGCATGCAGATACAGACAAACAACATCCAACCTTCACCTAAATTGTACCCCTATAGTGCCTTCCCTGCTACACTATAGTTAACCAAACAAAACAGTACAATTTCGAGTTGGATAGAACTGAATCTGCGCAATCAACTCAACCGAACTGCAAAGCTTCCATCTTGGGTTCCTTTGCGAGCTCGTCCTTTCTGCTTGCACTCTTCATAGCGCGTACAATGTTGTGCCGAAGCGCACATTGCGCGAGTACCTGCAAATGCATCAAGCGAAAAATGCGAAAGCAAACAAACACACGAACACACCATTCACACGCAAATGCATTCGCACACGCATACTCGTACAAACAGACGGCAGGATGTCGTGCAATGTGCATTTGCACCCAACAAATCCCATACTTCTCCCCCAGCTCCTTGATGAACTTCTCCTGGTGCAGCTTCAACCACCTGTGATCAGGATCCCTTTCCACGTGCATCCCGAGGTAGTACTTTACCTCCCCAAGGTTCTTGCACTTGAAGTTTTCCATCAGTTGCTGCTGCACTTTCTGGATCTCCTTCATGCTGCTGCTGAAGAGAAGAATGTCGTCCACATAGACCAGAAACAGCACCAGCTTCTCCCCCTCGCCCTTGAGAAAGAGGCTCTCATCACAGCTGCTGGTCCTGAATCCCATCTCCTCTAAAACAGCTGCCAACTTCTGGTACCAGCAGCGTGGCGCCTGCTTCAAGCCGTAGATGGACTTGTTGAGCTTGCACACCCTGCCCGTACCATCCTCATACCCAGGTGGCTGCGTCATGTACACATCCTCCTCTAAAATCCCATTCAGGAATGCCGTTGAAATATCCATCTGAATGATGAATTTCCCACTAACAGCTGCATCTGCCAACAAGACACGGAGGGTAGGGGGTTTGGCAGTGGGAGCAAAGATTTCGTTGAAGTCCTGCTTCTCCTTCTGCATAAACCCCTTCGCCACCAGCCTACTCTTGTAGATGGTGACCTGCCCCTTGTCATCGGTCTTGATCCTCAGCACCCACTTGCATTGTATCGCTTTCTTCCCATCAGGCAGCACCACCAGATCCCATGTCCTATTCTCCAGCAGACTCTGGTACTCAGCATCCCTAGAAGCCAGCCACTTGTCCCTATCTGGTCCAGCTAATGCCTCTTCCATGCTAGCTGGTTCCTCTGGTGCAGGGGCAAGAAAACAGTACGCAGGCTCATCCTCCTCATCCGGGTCATAGCCATGAGGTAGAATCAGCAATGCCTCTTCGGTCCCTAGCTGCTGCTCTGCTGCATCAGTTCCTGCAGTCAGCTTCTTAGTAGCCATACGGGTACGTCCTGGCCTGGAGACGGGTGTCTCCCATCCCTTCATAACGACACCCTTCGGCTTCTTAGGTCCGCCACCGGTGCTGGAAGGTTGCCCCCCAAAATGGTGTTTACCAAGGCGTGTAGATGGGTGCTAACTCGTCCGTTCGTGATTGCCGCGTCGCGCATGTGCTCGAATGTCGTTCCCGAAGGCCCGGCACCGACCCCGTTTTCGCACCTCCCCAACAGTTTGACGAAGTCAGCGTGAGTGATGGACAATTTTGACTCAGGGGCGGGTGGCCACGTCGTCTGTCCTGACTCGGCTGGCGGATGTTTCTGTCGAAGCTCCTCCAGAATTTCTGGAGTTGGTTTGCAGACTGGCGTTGACTCCAACGCCAGCACAGCGCGTCGCAGGCTACCCCGTTTCGCCAGGCCCTCGGCCCGGCTGATGACCCCAGTTGCGTCGGGCTGGTGACGTGGAGGTGCGGGAGTGTTGACTTCTTCGATCGCGTCCCTGTACAGTTGGTCCCATTCGCCACGCTGGAAGGCTCGGAGCCGGGCCTTGATCTGGGGCCAGTTCGGTTTCCGTGGCGAGTTTTGGCGAAGCGTCAGACGTGGCAGAAAAAGGAGAAGGCGCCAACCTGACTCTGCTTCCGGGTTTCGTGACAGGTGGAGTAACGGGGTCAGCAGCGCCAGCGAAAACAGCTGGCACAAATTGGGCGGTAACCGCCTTGCCAGGGATGGTTGTCGGCTGTCGCAGAGGGCTCGGATATCCCAGTTCGCGACGTCAGCGAACAAGTCTGCCCGCGTCGCCAACTCCTCTGGCGTAAAATAGCGAGGGAGGCTGGGATTTTCTCGCACCGCTGCCGTGTCCGTCGCGGCCCGATTTCTCCTGGTGCGGCCCGTCCTCCCTTGTGAAGGTACGGTTGGAATTTCGCCCGTACGATCGCCATCGGACGGTCCAGCCGCAGTGATCCCTTCCTCGCCTAGGGACCGCCTTGGTCTCGCTCCCGTCCTTCTCCCGTTCTCCTCTACTCCTTCCTCTGCTTCCGTCCCTTCTTCCTCACTCAAGGGAGTTGGCTCCTCACTATAAGAGGGGTCATTTTCTTCTTCTTCATTACGTAGCCTGATTAAAGCCCTGCTGGCCTCCCTCTGATAGCCATTCTCTGGCCCTCCTCCTCGTCCGCTAACTGCTTCTCGCCCTTCGCCACGCGCTCCCCGGCCTCGCGATGGTGATTGCTGGTGTGACCGATTACTCGCCAATGCGCGCTGGCGCTGCGTCGGTTGTACTCGAAAGGCTGTCGTTTGCCTCAGGAGCGGGGACCGTGGCGACGGGCTCCCCGCCGCTGTCTGCTCCGACGCCCGGCCTAGTAGCCGCTGAAAAGACTCCTCTCCTCGAATCCGCACGCCCTCTTGTCGCGAACGGGGTTGAGCCGTCTGCGCCGATTGTTGCTCCTCCCGCTCCGCCTGTCGCGCCTGCTCCCCCTGTCCTCCCTGTTCCTGCTGTGCCCCTGGCGACATCTGCTCCTGCCGGAGAGGCCGCCGTTCCTCCTGTCCCTGTGCCTGGCGCTCCCGTTGCACCTGCCGTTGCTGTCCCCGACGTGCCTGCGCCGGCGTCTGCTTCATCGCCGAGGGCGGCGTCCGCCACCACTGGCGGCCCGGCCTCGGTGGTTGCTCCTCCGGGCGCGGATCAGCATCCTCCCGTTCCACCGCCGGCGGCTCCTGTTGTTCAGCCGTCTCGTCCCCAGTCGCCTGACCGCCGTTTGTCCCGGCCCCATTCTCCAGCGCCCCAGCAGGAGCGCGAGACGTCGCGGCGCCGGCGTAACTCCCCCCGGCGCTACCAGCAGCAGGCCCCGTGGCCAGCTCACCCAGGTGGCAATGGGGGTTGGCGGGGTCCCCAGGGGCGCAGTGGAGGCGGGAGGTATCGTCCGCCCGTGACGCTGGCGGACCTCCAGCGGGAAGTGTCGCGGGAGGTGTCGCGCGCCGTGCGCCAGGGGAGGGCAGCGCCGAGCCAGAGCAGTTCGCTGCGGGCTGCTCCGGAGCACGTGGCTCCCCGTTCGCCTGTCCCTCCTGAGGTCCCTCCGCCGGCTGCTGCTCCTCCTCCTCTCGTCCCTGCCCCGTCCGCTCCTTCTCCTTCCGTAGCGGCGCCGGCTCCCGGCTCCCGCCTGCATCTGCCGCCGGTTCCGCCTGTCGCAGGGGTAGAGTTCGTGGCAGCTGGTGGTGGCGCGGCAGCGACTCAGTATGCAGCTGATGAGCCGCTCCAGTTCCTGGCGGCGGCTCTACAGCCTCCAAAGACGCGCGTTCCTGAGACAACGCTTGGTCAGCTCCACCGTCTCGCAGAGAGCCTGCACGCTCTGCTTCTAATTCAGGTGCTTGCGCACTCATCTCTCCCTGCTGTCCCCCCCGAGTCCTTTCGCAGCCACCAGCGTGACCCGTGCCTCGACGCGGCTGACCAGCTCGCGGTGCTGCTGGCGCCCGTGCTGGCTGCGCCCGCGGAGGGAGGCGCTGCTGCCGCGGGACAGCTTGGCGAGGCTGTCCGTGGACTGCGGCGACACTTGCACGCAGGATCTGGAGCCGCGGCGATCGGCGCAAGCACGCTTGTGGTCCGGGAGCTTTGGCGCTCCCTGACGGGCATTCTTCATGCCCTTGGAGCTCACCGCATGTAGGCGCGGGCTCCGGTTGCTCCATGTAGTGTATTGCGCGGCTAGGCCGCGGTAGGTGTTGCCATGTGTGTAATGTTGCTCATTATTAACCGCTCTGTGCGCGATTACTTCCCGTCCCCTCACGCGCGGCCGAAGGCCGCGCCGTCGAGCGTCGGCCGCCGAAGGCGGCCGGCGCGAGCGAAAATTTTCTGCCGCCACACGAACAATGAGAAACCAGCCGTAGGAGGGCCTTAAGTAGGGCCTAGAGGCTAAGGGGAGAGGCTAAGGGCCGAGGGGAGAGGCTATTCCTCTCTCTCTCTCTCTCTCTCTCTCTCTCTCTCTCTCTCTCTCTCTCTCTCTCTCTCTCTCTCGAACGAGCGAAAATTTTCTGCCGCCACACGAACAATCCCCCAGGTGCAGCTCATGTCCAATCCCCCCCACCAGAGGGTTTTCCGCCGCTGCCGCCTCGCCCAACTTCATGAGAAGTCCCACGGATTGGGCCCTTTGCAGAGCCACCGACCATCACTGCCGAAATTGGTGCAAGAACTTGGCGGCATAGAAAGATTTTGAGTCGGCGTTGAAGTGCCGCCGAGCCGCTGAGTCTGCAAGAAGCTTAAGGAAGACCGGAACCTCCGCGCATGGGCAGCCATAGGTGTCTACTGCCAGGGGGAAGAAGCCAACCGTCTCCGGGCGGTTGGCGTAATGCTTAATCTTCTTGTCGGCCTGCTCCCGGGCCGCCCACCCCCTGCCTTTCTGAGCCTCTGGGTCCCTGGTGCTGATGGGATCAGTGACTGTGACGTCGCAAATGTAGACGGCTCCGGTGCTCCTGTCCATCATGGTGAAATCCGCCGTTTGTTCCTCGATGTGGCAGTAGGCCGTTGACTCCCGATGGACAATAAAGCCCGCATCTTGCGCCATGCTGACGCAGGCATCCCGCAACTCGTTGTGGGTGTTCGTGCGGTGTTTGCCTGTGGCGCACCGCAACAGGTGGTTCGGAAGGCGGGGGTCAGTAATGGCCGTGTGTTCTGGGCAATCACAGTTCTTGGGAGTTGAGAATGGCAGGGCCAGGCGGAAGCGCACAGCGTTCGCAAAGTGCACTGGCCCTATCCGCCGCGTCGCTGCCACTGGGACTGCCGTAATCCAGTCGCCAGTGCCGTAGCCAGTCAAGGAATACATCCGCTGTGTGTGCCCCGCGAGCGGATTCAGCCGCATGTCCAAGTCTCGTCGCTTGCACCTGCACGGCGTACCTGTTGGTGTAAGGGCCTAATAAACTCAAGCTATTAGGACTTAATCAAACTTAAAACCTCTCCTCGGGGTCACCTCCAAGGGTCCCTGGGTGCCTGGTACAAGACCAGCCCCTATCCTCGGGTCCGAGTTTGTAGAGAGAGGGATCAAGAAGGACTTAGTCAAAACAGCAAGAGTACCTTGAACGTCGCGCAGCGTGCCGTGCAGACCGTCGGTCGGATTAAGCTGAGAATTCGCTATATCGAAGCTCGCTCCAAGAGCTTTAAAATGAGCCAAGTTGCCTCGCGAAAAGTTCTGCCATTACTAAGTTATGGCTCGGACAGCGTTTGCCTAGCGTTGGAGTGCTAGCATACTAGCGTTGACTCGGGTAGCATTCCGCCGTCGAATAGCGCAGAAACGAAATTCCAGCGAGGAAGGAATTCGCTTGAATCAATTTGACTATATTCAGGTACAAACAGAGAAGGATTAAATAGTTCTAGCTAGCAAGGACCTTGGGAATCAACCTGGGAACAACCAGGGATGATCCCAAATAATTCCAAGCAACAGAACCAACCTAGCTGGAGAAGTATGGGATTGAGAATGAGCGCAAGGTTGCAACTCCCCTGCCAGCAGAATTCAAGCTTGTGAAGGCTGCAGAGGATGAAGGGGTTGAAGCTGAAGAGCAGCAGCAATTTCAGTCCTTGGTGGGCAGCCTCTTGTACGCAGCAGTTCACACGAGGCCCGACATCTCTTTCTCGGTTGGGCAGCTGGCTAGGGTGGTGCAGAATCCATCAGAGGAGCAGGTGGATGCAGCTGAGCGTGTGGTGAAGTACCTGAACTCTCACCCAAGCATTGGAGTTCAATACTCCGCATCTGCACAGGTGAAGCAGAAAGGGGTGGAGGTGCTGAAAGAGAAGGGGGAGAGGCTTGGAGAAGGCAAGCTATTTCTCACTTGCTTTACCGATGCTACGTGGGCTTCTGAGAAGGAGGATTCCTCATCTGTGGGAGGATACATCTGCATAGTTGGGGGAGGACCTGTTAGTTGGAGGTCCAAGAAGCAGACGGAGACGGCACTCTCTTCCGTAGAATCAGAGTACATGGCGATGTTCCATGGGGTGAAGGAGGTGATTTGGCTGAGGAGGCTGTTAGAGGAGATTGGCCAGGAGCAGAAAGTTGCTACGCCGCTGTTTTGTGATAGCAAGGGGGCTCTTGGGATGGCCAGGAACGCTGTGCTTCATGGCCTGAACAAGCACATGCGTATCAAGTGGCACTGGCTGCGTAAGGAGGTGAAGAGGGGGACGGTGAATCCAATCTACATCAAGACTCACCAGCAGCCAGCAGACTTTCTCACCAAGAGGCTTGCGGATGAGCCTCATTGGCGTTGTGTGCGCATGAGTGGAATGAGCATGAACTAGCATGGAATGACGGGGATGCAGCCGGCAGGCTGAGGGGGAGTGTGTTGGGTGCAAATGCACATTGCACGACATCCTGCCGTCTGTTTGTACGAGTATGCGTGTGCGAATGCGTGTGAATGGTGTGTTCGTGTGTTTGTTTGCTTTCGCATTTTTCGCTTGATGCATTTGCAGGTACTCGCGCAATGTGCGCTTCGGCACAACATTGTATGCGCTATGAACAGTGCAAGCAGAAAGGACGAGCTCGCAAAGGAACCCAAGATGGAAGCTTTGCAGTTCGGTTGAGTTGATTGCGCAGATTCAGTTCTATCCAACTCGAAATTGTACTGTTTTGTTTGGTTAACTATAGTGTAGCAGGGAAGGCACTATAGGGGTACAATTTAGGTGAAGGTTGGATGTTGTTTGTCTGTATCTGCATGCTACAAGGCCAGGGGAAACCAGCGGAACCAGCATTTGGCTGGTTGGGCAAAGACAAAACAGGTTCTGTTTTTAGAACCTGAACCTGGTTGTTGTTTTCCCAGGTTGGAAAAACAGAACCAGAGGTTGTTTACCAACCTACCACCTGCTATTTGTTTCTGCTTGTCCTTTCTGCTTGCACTGTTCATAGTGTTGGTGTAAGGGCCTAATAAACTCAAGCTATTAGGACTTAATCAAACTTAAAACCTCTCCTCGGGGTCACCTCCAAGGGTCCCTGGGTGCCTGGTACAAGACCAGCCCCTATCCTCGGGTCCGAGTTTGTAGAGAGAGGGATCAAGAAGGACTTAGTCAAAACAGCAAGAGTACCTTGAACGTCGCGCAGCGTGCCGTGCAGACCGTCGATCGGATTAAGCTGAGAATTCGCTATATCGAAGCTCGCTCCAAGAGCTTTAAAATGAGCCAAGTTGCCTCGCGAAAAGTTCTGCCATTACTAAGTTATGGCTCGGACAGCGTTTGCCTAGCGTTGGAGTGCTAGCATACTAGCGTTGACTCGGGTAGCATTCCGCCGTCGAATAGAGCAGGAACGAAATTCCAGCGAGGAAGGAATTCGCTTGAATCAATTTGACTATATTCAGGTACAAACAGAGAAGGATTAAATAGTTCTAGCTAGCAAGGACCTTGGGAATCAACCTGGGAACAACCAGGGATGATCCCAAATAATTCCAAGCAACAGAACCAACCTGGCTGGACAAAATAGCAGGTGGTAGGTTGGTAAACAACCTCTGGTTCTGTTTTTCCAACCTGGGAAAACAACAACCAGGTTCAGGTTCTAAAAACAGAACCTGTTTTGTCTTTGCCTAACCAGCCAAATGCTGGTTCCGCTGGTTTCCCCTGGCCTTGTAGCATGCAGATACAGACAAACAACATCCAACCTTCACCTAAATTGTACCCCTATAGTGCCTTCCCTGCTACACTATAGTTAACCAAACAAAACAGTACAATTTCGAGTTGGATAGAACTGAATCTGCGCAATCAACTCAACCGAACTGCAAAGCTTCCATCTTGGGTTCCTTTGCGAGCTCGTCCTTTCTGCGTGCACTGTTCATAGCGCGTACAATGTTGTGCCGAAGCGCACATTGCGCGAGTACCTGCAAATGCATCAAGCGAAAATTGCGAAAGCAAACAAACACACGAACATTCCATTCACACCCAAATGCATTCGCACACGCATACTCGTACAAACAGACGGCAGGATGTCGTGCAATGTAAATTTGCACCCAACACACTCCCCCTCAGCCTGCCGGCTGCTTCCCCATCATTCCATGCTAGTTCATGCTCATTCCACTCATGCGCACACAACGCCAATGAGGCTCATCCGCAAGCCTCTTGGTGAGGAAGTCTGCTGGCTGCTGGTGAGTCTTGATGTAGATTGGATTCACCGTCCCCCTCTTCACCTCCTTACGCAGCCAGTGCCACTTGATACGCATGTGCTTGTTCAGGCCATGAAGCACAGCGTTCCTGGCCATCCCAAGAGCCCCCTTGCTATCACAAAACAGCGGCGTAGCAACTTTCTGCTCCTGGCCAATCTCCTCTAACAGCCTCCTCAGCCAAATCACCTCCTTCACCCCATGGAACATCGCCATGTACTCTGATTCTACGGAAGAGAGTGCCGTCTCCGTCTGCTTCTTGGACCTCCAACTAACAGGTCCTCCCCCAACTACGCAGATGTATCCTCCCACAGATGAGGAATCCTCCTTCTCAGAAGCCCACGTAGCATCGGTAAAGCAAGTGAGAAATAGCTTGCCTTCTCCAAGCCTCTCCCCCTTCTCTTTCAGCACCTCCACCCCTTTCTGCTTCACCTGTGCAGATGCGGAGTATTGAACTCCAATGCTTGGGTGAGAGTTCAGGTACTTCACCACACGCTCAGCTGCATCCACCTGCTCCTCTGATGGATTCTGCACCACCCTAGCC